CATTTCATATTGCAGATGGATAATGACCCAAAACATATAGCAAAAGCTACCCAGGAGTTTTTCAAGGCAAAGAAGTGGGATATTCTTCAACGGCCAAGTCAGTCACCTGATCTCAACCCAATAGAGCATGCTTTTCATTTACTGAAGACTGAAGGCAGAAAGACCCACAAACAAGCTGCAAATGAAGGTAGCTGCAGTAGAGGCCTGGCAAAGCATCTCAAGGGAGGAAACTCAGCATTCGGTCATGTCCATGGGTTCCAGACTTCAGGCAGTCATTGACTGCAAAGGATTTTCATCCAGGTAATAAAGGTGTTCCTTATGTTTGTCATGTTGTTGGTTTGTTCCATTACTTATGAGCCACCAACAATGTGTGTGTTTGTATGTGTGTATGCCACTGGCTGTACTTCCTGAATGGTTAGTGCCCCACTTTTGTCAAACCTCTTGAATTACAGCTGAAAGTGCTGACTTCACTCCCATCTGGGTGTGTTTCCTTCCAACTTCAATGTGGTGGTGTACAGAGGCCAAATGCTAAAACAGTTGTTCCAATATTTCTGGTCCTGACTGTAATAAGAAAAAAAAGTAAAATAAGAAAAAAAGGAAATATAAATAAATCCACTTTACAGCAATGGCATACCATATCTTTCCATAACTTTTTATATCGCAAGCTATCCTTACTTCCTCTTTATTCATATACCACTTCATTCATTGCCTTTTGTTATTTAAAACTTCTGAACTCTCTCTTTTTCAGCATCTCATCGGTTCTATCCTTAGACCTCCCCTTTCTCTAGAACTATTAATTATTCTTTCATACATCATTCACTTTTGTATTCAATCCACATTCATTTATTACCCATTCATTCTTGAAAAAGCCATCTGCCCATACAAAGGGATGGAGCTTCTGACTCTTGACCCTATCTCTTCTTGTATTACCACATACCTTCCTGAAACAGCCCATGCCCACTGCATTTTGAGTTACTTTTATGTTTTTCCTAATGCATCCAACTCTCATTTCTGTATAACAAAGTGGACAGAAGCATGTTCCCGCTCACAGCCATTTTTTGCTTTCTCCAACAAACATTCATTCCTTCTGCCCAGAAGTGTATCTACCAAAAACTGCTAGAAAAGCTGGGGAGCAGAACACATAGATACTTTATTACAAATATTAGCTATTCTTAACAGTTGAACAGGGTAAAAAAGTATGTTACCTGTATATATCGAAAAACAATTTTAATACTTTGTTCTGACAATATCTTGTAATAGCAGTGTATTCGTTATCTTTTCACATTTACAGACGAAACATTTTTAGATGAGGGACACACAACTTCAACACCCATTAACCCTATTCAGCATAATTTATGGAAAGTGATTGCTGGAACTGTAATTCAAAATCTGTAAGATGTCATTTTACCTACTGTATCTCCTACTTTAAATTATGAAAGTTAAATATTATCTAAGTTTATTCTGATGCATTTCTGTTACAGAAATTGGTGTGCCTGCTAGTTTTCATCACCTCATCCAAGTTTGATGAAAAGGAAGGAGATGGTTATTGTTACACTACAAATAACCTAATTCTTTAAATGGCCCATAAAGCAGTATTCCTCCTGTTCATTTCCTATCACAATCCATTAGACAATAAAATATGTTTTGGGGCAATCCTGGACTTGAAACGAGCTTGAAATGTGCCCAAGCTGAACAGAATCTAGAATTTCATGAAATAACTCATTCAAGGAGCTTGTTCAGAAAGAATATATTAGAAACTTTCTGGCAGTCCTTAGGATCTACAAAGAATTTCTTTGGCTTGAGTGTACAACTGACTCATGGTGGCTAGGACCAGTTCATTCACAGAGAGGTTATTAGCTGCCTCCTGGACCTAACTGATCAATCCCTTTCTATAGGTGTTATAAATTAAGAAAGACAATATTCCAGAAAACAAATGAGACATTTCAGTCTTCTAAAAGCTTATGTATACACACAAGCCAGAATAACAGGTATTCATCCCACAAACATGACCAAATTATATTAATGGGCATCTCTGCAGACAAGCTGCAGAATCAGTCAAATTTGCACCAAAACAGATTATAAACTTTATTCTTAAAGTGTCTAGAAAGAAGTCGCACCATGACATTAAGGATTTGCTTACATTTAGCTTACAACAAGATGAGTATGAAATTTATTTATTAATTTATTTATTAAATTTTTCAACTGCCCATCTCCCCCCAATGGGGGAACTCTGGGTGATTCACAATAAACATTAGAACATAA